ATAAAGAAGCTAGGCGGAAGAATCAGTATTTATATGAATTATAGAAGTATTAATAATATAATTCTAAAGTCCCGCTACCTATTTCCGTTTATTAAAGAAACGCTCAATACAATTTATTGCGCTAAAATATTTACTAAATTCAACGTTATCGCCGCCTTTAACCGTATCCGTATTAAGTAAAATGATAAATAATTAGCCGCGTTTATTATACGGTTTGGCCTCTTCGAATCCTTAAGGATATCATTCGGCCTATAGGGCGCACTAGGAACGTTCTAGAATTATATTAATAATATTCTATATAATATTCTCAACGTCTATACGATTACTTACTTCGACGATATTCTTATTTACTTCAATAACGTCTAAAATTATAAGCGCTACATTAACAACGTTTTCGACCAATTAACTAAAGTAGGCCTTAGCATCGATATTAATAAATACGAATTCTATACAATACGTACGAAATATTTAGGATTAATTATTACCCCGGGAGGCATTGAAATCGACTTAGAAAAAGTAAAAGCTATTATTGAATAAGTAGTTCTAGAATTTAAGAAATCCCTATAATCCTTTTTAAGCTTTGCGAATTTCTATAAACGTTTTATAAAGGATTTTTCGATTATAGCAACCCTACTTTACGAATTTACTAAGAAAGATATTACATAGATTTAGAACAACGCTTATTAACGGTGTTTTAAGGTATTAAAGAAGGCTTTTATAGAAGGACTTATATTCAAAATCTATAATTAGATTAAAAAGACGGTCGTAGAAATAAATATTTTTAATTGGATTGTAGGAGGTACCTTCTCTTAGTACGGGGGCGACGGCGTCCTCTACTTAATAATTTACTTTTTAGTAAAGTATACGTCCTAAGAATATAATCACAACGTTTATAATAAAGAATTATTTGCTATTATTAAAGTATTAAAGGAATAGAGGCTAAAATTCGAAGGGGTTTAATAGCTTTTCAATATCCTAATAAATTATAAGAACCTATAAACCTTTACGACTAATAAATAGTTTTTTACTTAGCGCTATATACGGTAATTCTAATTCCTATCCCGTTTTAACTTTTTAATTAAATGTATACCGGGTTTTAAAAACCTCCGCCTGGATGTATTAAACTGTAAATTAAACGACTACCTTAACGATATAGAGGACGATAAATTCGTAGTATATAAGCGGGCCCTATTAGACCCTTTATAGTTTAAATACGGTTATTTCTTTAAAGAGGACCCCGCTATTAATTTATCTCTATACTTACTGGGTATAGATGACTTTAATAATAAATTAATTAACGATTTAATCCGAGTAAATTACGAGACCTCCGTCTTCTTATAAGAATTAGTCTCTTACTTCATAAATAAAATAGAGCGCTAATAGCTATTAATAATTGGGAAAATCTTCTATCGTACTTCTTTAAAATATTACGTCGTTAATAATATTACGACATAGCGGGATAGAATTATTATCGACCCTTATAATAAGGAGTTCTAACTCTAATTGATTAATCGTTAATATAATTCTCCGAACGTAGGCTACCTTAATTACGTCGCTATATACGAATTTTTGTAAAGAGAGTTCTATTAGGAGGGTATATACAACGACGTACAGATCTTTTATAAGGGATATTTTTCTTATATAAAGATTAAATTAATAAAACGAAGCTCCGCTAATTATTTTAAGCCCGTAGCTATATCCTTAACGCTATAGAAGGATATTATAATCGATTATATTACCCTATTACCGGAAAGTACATACTTCGGCTAAACCTTTAAATATATTACTATTATCGTCGACTACTTAATTAAAATACAGTATTATATTCCGATTGTAACCTTAGAAGCTAAAGAATTCGCGGACTACTTTATAGATTATATTTATTCGATTTACAATTTATTAAATAGCGTCCTATTTAATAGAAATACTTAGTTTATATTGTATTTCTAATTTACCTTTTATGAAAGACTATTTATTATTTGTAAATTAACTTCCGCTTTCTACCCCCAAACTGACGTTCAAAACGAACGAATTAACGCCGAGATAGAATCGTTCTTACGATTCTATATTAATTGGGTATAAACGGATTGGGCGAAATAATTATTAATTGCGAAGTTCGCTAGTAATAATACTATATTATTATTAATAGGTATTTCCCTTTTCTTCGCTAACTATAATTATTATTTATAAATAAGTACCGAATTTCGTATACTACCCCCCCCCCCCCGGATCTATTACCGGCCTAATTGAAGCAGTATTATAAAGTTTTAGAATTAACGGATTATTTTTAGAAAATTTAGGATTTCGTAGTTTAGTAAATTTATTATATTTAAGAACGGTACGAGGATAATACTAATAAAACACGTATTAATTCTTTTAAATACTACGCCGGTAATATAATTTTACTAAATACAATTAATTTCATTAATAGTCGCCCCTATATAAAATTTTTACTTCGTTAGGAAGGATTATTCAAAATTATTCGAATTAAATTTTATATTATTTATTTCGCTCTATCGATTAATATAAAATATTTATTAATTTTTTATATTTCTATAGTATAATTATAATTTGGTAAGGGATTATTGAGATAGAGTACGTTATTAAATATTTGAATAAATAACGGCCGCGTTATAATTTAAACGGATAATTAAAAGGAATATAAAGAATAGGCTTTCGAAAAGTTTATTATTTACGCTTCATTGGGCGGTAACTTATATTAGTATTACTACGTTAAGTAGAAGATTGGAAATTTAATTTAAGAGCCCGTTAATAATATTATCAACTATAAGTACCGCCTATAATAATTTTATTGTAAGAACCCGGATAAACTAATCCTTCCAAAGGTCTAAAGTCTTCAATATCGCCTCGCTTCCAATTCTCTAACGGCCCCTAATTTTCTAACCGCCCCTAATTCTCTAGCCCCCGCCCCCGCTCCCGAACCTCCGCGGCGCCGTTCCGCCCGCCTCCGAGAGGTTGCTTCCGTTATTAATATAACGAAACTGCTGCCGGATTCGGTCATAATAATTAAAATAAATATAATAGTGGGTAAAAAGGTAGAAGATAAGCTATATTTAATATTTAGCAAGATTATACGACAGTTGATAAATATATAATTAGGAAAGCTATTTATAAGGCAATTTATAAATTATAATAGAATAGTATAAAGGGATAAGTCTATTATTATATATATATATATATATAGATTTTTTCAACTCTACGAACTTCTTTTAAGGGGATCCGTAGTATTATAAAGCTAGCCTATAATGTGGTTATATTATATTAATTATATATATACTATATTAGAATTAATACCATAGCCTAAAGCTATATACTCACGTACTAATTATATATTCTAATTATGTACAATCTTACGTACGCGCGTACGGGTTAGTCTACTAGTCTCTCGCCCATATAGCCAATCCTCTACGCACACTTCCCTTTCTCTCCTTCGTACAACAACGCATATCCTACCCTACCCCCAACGGTACCCTCTCGCCCCATAATATTAAACTAAGAAAACAAACCCCTCCTCCCTCTCGTTATTAAGAACTATTTAAAAAATTAGTATAGAAATTCTCTCTAATATAAGGACTATACCTTATATAAAGGGGAGATAATAATAGTTAATTTTATACGTTGTATTAATTCAAATAGTAAATAAAAACTTCGTTTATATCCAACGTTAGTAATTAATTACTTAAAACCTATAATATAGCGTATTATGGTTATACCCTTCGAAATACTTATACTTGAATACGAAGGTATTACTATAGTAATTATCGTATAACTATTTAAGAAATAATTAGGTATTATTATACCCTCCTTTCAAATTGCAGCGTACGTTCTAGCATATATTATTGAAATTACTATAAATTTATAGGATCTCAAAGTATTTCTCTTTAATTATAGCGAGGATTATTCGTATAGTAAAATTTTATTGTAATAGAAGGTCGTTAACGAAGCAATTAATTTCCGGATTAACCTTATATTCGAATACTTTAATACGAAATATAATATAGCTTTTTAATATATACGATGGGGTATAGCCTCTATATATAAAGCTTATAGCCTAGGTAATCTATATTTACTCTATACTCTTCTTAATTTAGAGTACAATTTTAAAGGAATAATGGCGCGCTATTGGAGGTGTGCCGTATCACGTACGGCCAGCCATAGCTCCCTTCACCAGGCCATAGCCCCACCGTATAGGGTCCATCCTTTCCCTCATTTCTAGACCTCCAAACTACTCGAGTCTTCCCCTCTACAATTCAATATATTACTATTATTATTAATTCCTTTCGTTAAATTCAACCTATTCACAAATTATAAGCCCTCTCAACGTAACCGTTAATTAATAACCTATCGCGTAAGCGGTACCCTTATTTCTTCGACGTTGTATTGCGACCGATAAGAACTTCGTCTTCGACGTCGATTCGACCGATAAGGCACCCTAATTAATTAACCTCCATATTGCATTGCAACAGATAGGCTACCCCCCTCCTAACTGAGCGACGTTAATTATAATTAATTTTAATCTAGTAATTTAACGAAAGTAAATTAACTATTGATAATACTAATAACTTCGCTATACGATTACAATCAACCCTCCTCGTTATTGTTGTTTAAATTTAGCGACCGACTTTATAAAAATTATTTACGGCCTATTAAATATACTAACCGTTCCCCCCTAAATCACCTTACCCCTCCTTTTATTAGTATTAATAGCCAACGATTATACGATGGGCGAAATCTCTTTATTTATCGTCCTTAAGGGCGAGTCTAACGTCGATAATTAGAATCGCATATTGCGCTGCGAGCTTAATTACATTAATATTTTCGAATATATTATTACCGTTATTATTAAACCCGCTAAAGCTATTAAGCTGGATGAATATAAAGTCTAGCGTACTAATAGGGCTAAGGTTATACAGATTATTTAAATTACCTTTAAGGATAATAAGGTTATTACTATTCTTAATATTAACGGTTAGGACTAGGATAATACCGATCCTAAATATTTCTACGATTATATTTGCAAAACCGTTAGTAAAGTTATTAATAAAATTCGTACTAATATTTTCGAAAAGTATATTACTCTTTATTGCGGCAATTTTAATTCTATATCTTCCTTTTTTATTCGCTATAATCTTCTTCGTAAGCGCATTACTAAGTACAGTTTGAAAATCGATAATAAGGTTAAAGTTCTCAACTTTTATAATATAGTTAAACGCTAATATAGTATTAACGCTAAATTTTGGGCTATAGAAATAGCCAAAAATAAGTTTACTACTTTCTAACTTCTTATTTATTTATTTATTTACCCTTGGAAATACCGAAGCCCGTATAACTAATCTAACGATTTAGAAATCTAATACTACTTCGATTATTAAAATTAATAATAAGAAGGATACTAGGAAAACTTCGTCGTTTAATAATAATAAGGATTGTAAGGGTTTTAAATAAACTATTTGCACCGATTGTAGTCAAACTATACGTAAAGACTTCAAGTATTTTCTATGCGGTTATTATTGTAACCTTCGTATAGCTAATTGTTGGTAGTACGACCCTAATAAGGCCCCCGCCAATTAGTCTAAGAAGAAGGAAGCTATTGAAAAGAAGGCTACTTTTAATACTAGTATTACTACCGTTACTAGAGCTATTAATATTATGTTAATTATTCCCGGTATTGCTATTAATTTTACTTTATTATTTGGCAAATTTATTTTTAAAAATTATACCAATACCTATTTTAAGTACTAGGGTTTTTATTAGAGGCTATAGCGAAGTTAAAGTATATTAATTCTACCTTATATCAATTGTAATATTTAATATATAATATCGCTAAAGTCCAATAAATTCTTAAAGTAAACCCTATAAAAAATTTGGTAATTTACGATTTTAATTGTAATTCTAATATTTTAAACTACGTTAAATAGTTTATTGACCTTCAACCCCTTTTTAAATTAGCTAAATATACCATCGGTAGCGGTATAGTTACCCTATCTTACTATATTGGTATAATCGAATTAATAATACTAACTGTAATAAACGTTAATATTCGAATTCGAATTAAAGACGTTATTTATTCCCCTTCAACACTAACTAATTTACTATCTACTAGGGTTCTCTTAGAAAGTAGTTTAATTTAGGATATAAAAACTAATTAAACTAATTTAAATTAAAAGTATACTATCTAATATAATTATATTAATAAATTAGTAATCTTTCTAGTAATTCAACCCTTTAATTTCGACTAATCCAAAATCGAGACTAAGAACGTTATATTCGCTTCTATTAACTATTCGATAATATATAAAAGAATAATATACCTAGGTAAAGAGTGGGTTATAAAGGTTTATTAGGAAGTAGATATAATTTTTAATAATATTTAAAATTATTTTTGTAACGGTTGTATACGTATAAAAGCTACTAATATTATGCACAAGTATACTTATATAATTTTAATTACCCCGGTTTAATTTATTCGAACCGACGTTATTTAATATAATTTCCCGAATTACTTAGGATAACGTTATTATATTTATTTTATTTGCGAAGCCTTTGGCTATTATTGGGTAGATTTTTACAATATTAAGGGCGAAGTATTTACTAAATTAAAGTAATTTAAAAAATAGATTAAATTTTCAATTAGCTTTAAAGTTAAAATTGTCGGTTTTAATAGTAGTTTAAAATAGGGTTTATTAACTAAAAAGTTCTAGAGAAAATAATTATATGGTTGGGTTATAGAAGAGGGTATTTAAATTTAAAAACTATAATATATATTCTATAGATGAACGGAAAATTTAAAAAAGCGGATATAATTATTATAGAGCGTACTAAAGCCTTAATGATTAACTTTAAAATACTTCCCTATTTTTAATCTTTCATAATTTAAAATAAAATTATAATTATAAATTTAATGCTTTTAAAAGCCAATCTAGAAGGGAAAAGCCTATACGAACTCCTTACCCGTACTATTCCTAAATACGCCAAAAACGAAATTAAACTATAGATTAAATATTTATATAATTATTTCTATCCTATATATTATTATATTAAACCTTAGAAACGTATTAAGGGAAATAAGTTCGAAGAATATAATTAATTAAATTAGTTAATCGGTTATAATAATGCCAATAATTGTATTGACTAGATTTAAGATTCCGAAATTAATTAGATCGTTCGCGCTAATATAATTAAGTTCGTTAAAATAGATTACCTAAAATCCCTAGAGGAGGTAATTGTACAATATATTGTCGTCTTTAGCGACTAAATTATTTAAGAGATTAAAAATATTATTAATAGTAGAATCTAATATTAGATTAATATTATTAGAAATTACGTACCGGTAGACTCCCTAACCCTATTTCAATAAATTACTAATAAGTTCAATCCAATTGCAAAACAGAAGGATATAATTCTCAAACTACCGCCGATTTACTACCTTACTCCAAAAGCAACGAAGTTTCTAGAACTAGCGCCGGGAGCATTATTTCTAATGCCCGAACTATTATTTTAAAAACCCTTACTAGGACCGTTATTTCTAAATCCCCTATTTGAACTTTACGACGAACCAATACGATTTATAAAGTAAAAGGAAGACTTTATTAATTTCGACAACCTCGATAAGGAGAACCCTATACTAAACGATATATTTAACGATTCTTTTAATAGGTTTGAAAACGTAATTGAAGAATTTAAAGAGACCATACCTTAACCCTAATTTATACCCTAATATTAGATTTAATAATAGGAGGTTCCCTAAATTATTATTCTAATTAGGAAATTACCCGATTTATCTCTCGAAATCGCTAAATTTTAATTCAATATTCCTACACTAGTATAAAAGTAGCTACCCTACTAACTAGAGTCCCAATTAGAATCCTAACCAAAATCCTAACCAAAATCCCTAAACCTACTTTCTATAGAATAATCCTAATAACTATTAGATAAACTAAATAAATAGACAAAAGGTAGCTAACCCTTTGAAATAGAATCTTTAAAAGTAAATAAAAGTAAACTTCGTCGTTCAAAGGCTAAATTACTTAAGTATAAATACGAAATTTAACGAGCCGTTGATAGTAATAATATCGTTATCGATCCTAACCCTATTCTACCTACCTTTTTTTTACAGTATCGCGGAAATTAACCGTATAATTCGCTTCCCCGAATACTACTTTATAGCTATAAAAGTTCTATATAACCTCGTTTAAACTAAAATAAACCGGAATATTCCTAAGAATTATAATTAAACTATTAAATTAGTTAATTATAAAATATATTAGTTATTAATAATAGAGCAGTAAGTAAAGGTTTTAGAAAATGCGGGTATTTATTTCTTAATTGAATATACCCTTGCTATAAATATATTACTTGGTAAATAAGTGTATATGAAAAAGTATAATATTAATTTAAAGGAATATATAGCCCGCGCTAGATAAGTAGTCTATAGCAACTTTGAATACAATAAGTAGGATTTGTAGGATATCTATGCCGCCGTAGCTAATTCGGTTAATATAAGGTTATTCCTTTATATTATGGTTATTAACGATTTCGAATATAAATAGTATAATTTTAATACAGTATTTCTAAACGTACTAATCCTTAAAGATAGTAAAAAATATTATATTAAATAATTGACTAGTTTTAAAAAGAAGAATCGCAAATAAGTATACTAATTAATTCGAACCTTATACAAGTTAAAACGTAGCCCCCTCTTTTAATTTAAAACTTTATTACCAATCCTTAAAGGATTGGCCTTTACCCTTATTAGTATTGATCTTTATCTTTTACTTAATAATATTTTAAGTACTATTATAGTCCTTTACGTTAACGACTTCCTTATAGCTATAACTAATTAGAAGATTATTAATTATATTAACGTCGTTCTTAAATAAAAATTTAAACTTAAATATCTAGGACCTATTCGTACTTTCTTGGGCTTTAATATCGTTAAAAATGGAATTGAGCGTACCGTCTTTATTTCACAAGAAAAATATATTAGAGTAATTATCGATAAATTTATTAAGGGATAATTTATAACGATAAAATAAGAGTTTTATCCGATTAAAATTCCTTAGCTTCCGGACTACAAGATCTACGGGGGTAAGGAATTTCCTAGTTAATAGAAAGCCTAGATTAAAAGTATTAGCTCGCTAAATTATTTATTTATTAGTACCCGACCGGATATTATATTTACTATTAGCAAATTATTCGAAGGTAATATAAAGTTAACCGATTGTTATATTATTATAATAAAATACTTATATCGATACTTCATTAATTATCTAAATTTGGACATCGTTTTTAGAGGACGCTTTTTACCGATTAATAGGTATATTAATTTACAATTTAAGGTATATACAAATGCTTCTTTTATAAATAATATTCTAAATAGGAAGAGTACTACAAAGTACGTTATATTCCTTACTTACAGCCCTATCCATTGGAAATCCAAGAAGCAGAGCCTTATTACAACTAGTACAACGGAGGCAAAGTTCGTAAATCTGGTTCCTACTATAAAGTTACTAGAAGAGATTGGAAGTATATTGAAGGACTTAGGTCTTAGAATCAATACTAATCAAATCCTTTATATAGATAATAAGAATACTAGGAATTAAATATTCAATATTAATATCCCGGCTCCTAACCGCTATATTGATATATAATACAAATAGTTAATGAAACAAGCGGAAGAAAAGGCGATTAACTTAATCTATTTGGCCGGAGAGGATATACTAGTAGACGGACTAACGAAGATATTAAAGGCGGATAAGCATATAAAATTCGTAAAGTTTATTAGTTTTATATAGAAGAAGGTTCCCTAAGGTTGAAATACTAAGGAATTATCACTATATAACCTCCCTCATTTCTAGACCTCCAGACTGCTCGAGTCTTCCCCTTTATAATTCAATACATCACCATCATTATTGATTCCTTTCGTTGAGTTCAGCCTGTTTACACGCGCTTTCTTCTATAATGTAGAGCGCCTCTTTGAATTTTCGTTCGTAATAATTGGAGGGCGATATTCTACGTAGCCTAACTTATCGAACTTTTGAATTTATTATATTATAATACTAAAGCGATAACGGCGGTAGAAAGTAATATATTGTACGTATACTTTATCGAAATCCTCGAATTTAATAGAAAAGAAGGGATCGTTTATTAGTACAGTCTAAATTGCATTGGGGTCGAAGGAGGTATTAAAAGTAAAGGTAGCAATCGAAAAATATAA